GTTAGTCACAATGAACCAAATAATTAGTCACATACACCAAAACACCTCACACATATCCCGATCCACCACCAACATTTGGTCACAAATCAACCAAACAATTGGTCATAGACACTATCCCACAGTTGCCACTACCCCACTACCACGACAACACCACACTACCACCACCAACACTAGATCCAATACACTCCCAACAAAAATTATCACAACCACCCTTGTCATTGCACCAGCAACACCACCGCACATGCCACCACTCACCACCGCCACCACCATAAAAACAACACCACACACCATCCCACGACAACCACTACACACCGCACACACCACGGTCACCACACGCAGCACCCACTACACCGCACACAACACTACCCGAAACATACACAACACCACACACAGCACCCACCACACTGGACAAAGCACAATACCTAACCATCGCACACTACACCACGCCCAACCACACCGTACGCAACCACCTCGACAACTCCACCATCGGACATAGCACATTACCCAACTATCGTACACCACCATAGCACATAATACCCAACCATCGCACCAAAAATAATAATAATAAAAAAAAGAAGAACTGTTGCGCATGAAGGAAAGTCGTCGCTGCAGCATCGCACGACATAGTCGCTCGCAGCGTCGACTGTCGATCGCAGCAGCAATGATCTTCGCTGTGTCTCCGATGACGGCTGTGCGGGGAAGAGGGAAGAGAGAGAGTAGGCGGGAAGAGAGGAATAAAATTGGGGTTAGGTTTGGGTAATTATGATTTAGAGAGAGAAGGTAGATGAAATATATGAATTAATATCTATAAATAAAGTTTATATCTGAAATTTGAAATTGTAAAACTAAAATTCTGATTTTGTGTAATTTCCTCAATTCTATTTCTATCTCGACCATCACTCGTGAACAGCTGCTGCTGGAACTAAATGCAGTTTAATCAAGGCCGACCCTGACTATAGGCGATGTAAGCGATCGCCTAAAGCCCTACTTTGATGAGGGCCTCAAGTTATATAAGGTTAATTGTCTGGTGAAAGAAAAACGAAAATTATAATTACGAAAGTAAAAATTATATGACTTTCAAATATTTTTCTAATATTTTTCTATGCAAGCACAGGAAAGTAAAAATATTTGAAAATACAAACATTTCTATAAATAAATTATATGAATGACATAAAACTTATTACATACATTTATGTATTACATAAATATATGACCGTTATTACTTTCTATATATATAATTAATTTGACCATTTATCTTTTTAACCATCATTTATCTTTTTTTCTTAACAAGAAACAAAATGTCACTTTTCT